AGAGGGATGATTAAGAAGAGGAAGAAAATGAAGACACTCCCCAAATCCCCAGGCAAGGTGGCTCACTCAGCTCACATTGGGCCATCAAACAGGGCCAAATACCAGAGGCCTCCCTCCAATATCATAATTGCAATATTCAACCAGCCTGCTCTCTCAGTGGATGGCAGGGAGGCCAGCACAGAAGCATCTGTGCTGAGGGCCATTAGGGGTCCCTGACAGATGTGTCCCCCACCCACCCACCCCAACTCTGCTTCAGAGGAACACCCGTGGCTTTCTTCCTCCCAGACAAGGATTGATGAGGATTCTCGGGAGCTCTCAGACAGGCAAGGAGAGGCTGCGGACCTTTTCCCAGTCTGCAATTTATCTTGGGAGGGCCATTCACATCACTTGTTACAGGCCAGATCACGCTCTGACCTGGCACATTAATCTCCCCGAATAAAATAATAATCATCAAGGAAGGAGCTGGACAGTTGCCAGGGAGGCATTAATAACTGTCACCACACCTCAGAGGTATGAGAAAGGGTGTCAGGGCCCGCACCCACCTCCTGGTCCAAAGCAGTGCCGAGTGAAGGGGAGGGAAGACACACTAGCCTGGATTGGGGGCGGACAGGGATTTTGTATCTATGGACTAGACTCTTAACTAGTTCAGAAGAGCTCACTATACAAATCCAGGAAACTAAATTTACTCAGAAAAACCATATCCACATTCCTACACACCAAAGGTCCCAAGTGGCATTGCTCACGCTGGCCAGAAGTTGGGAAGCACCCCAAAGTCTCTCTCAAAGGGCAAATGGCTGAATGAACAGTGGTCTATCCACAGTGTGGGATGGGAACCAGTCATGGGAAGAAATGAAGGCTGAGCTATGCTAAAGTGTGGTGCTGGTGTGTTTTCTCGTGTGCATGCGAGCGTGTGTGTGTGTGTGTGTGTGTGTGTGTGTGTGTGTGTAATGCGCTAATATGACTGTGGGAGTGTGGGGTTCTCTGTCAGAGGACAGAAAAGGATCTTGGGCGTTATCCTCTATTGCTTTCCCCCTCTACTGCCTGTGACAGGGTCTCTCTCGCTGTTTTGGGATCTGCCTGACTGTGCCCTGTAATTCTGGGGTTACCAGCACCTCAGCCATGCCTGGCTGTGCCTGTGGTACTGGGATTTGAACCCAGGACTTCCTGCCTGCAGAGCAAGTACTCTTACCCATTGAGTCATCTTTTAACCCTGTTTTTTGTTTGTTTGTTTGTTTTGTTTTGTTTTTCCTTTTGGGTAAGGTCTTGCTGTTTCCAGGCTGGCCCTGAGCTTTGAAGCTCCTGCCTCTGCCTCTTTAGGACTAGGATTACAGGTGTGTGAGCTGTGCCAGCCCATGCTATGATGCAGATGAACTTGGAAATGTGAATGATGGTTAACAGCTATGACATGATTCTGTAGGTGGGAACTGTACAGAGTGCGCAAATCCACAGACAGAAGGCAGATTAGTGGTTGCCCAGGGCTGGTGGGAGGAGCCTGGGGTGACTGCTGAGTGAATTCAGGCCTCCCTCTGGGGTGATGACAATGTTCTGGAACCACGCAGGAGTGCTGGTTGCAATGTCACTGCACGCAATGTCACAGAATTAATGATACCCTTTTAAATGATTAGTAGTTAATCTTATGTGAATTTTACCTCAAATAAAACATTTTAACTGCTCTTGCCTTATGAGGCCCCTGTGAGAGAAGGGTCCTGCTTGTGAAGGGCTGAGCCACACCCCTCTCCTGTGACTGGCCTGTGGTCACCAAAAGGCCTTCAGTCTTTGCCATGTGACTTAGTTCAGTCTGTGAATGAAAAGTCAGAGCACCCTCCCGTCCATTGCCTCCCCCCCCCACAAACACACACACACACACACACACACACACACACGCACGCACGCACGTGCACACACACACCACACCGCATGTTTCTGAATGCATAGAGATGCTGGGGCCCAACAACAAAAAAGCTAGGTGCATCCACTCCCTTGTGGGAGCTTTGGATGCAGGGAAGAAATGAGAAGTGGTGAGATGAGCCATCCCATTCGCTGCCTGAAGAGGCAGCTCTGACCACAAGGAAGAGGACAAGGGTGTCAGAGAGGGGAAAGGGGAAAGGCTGCTCTGGTTCGAGGCAGCAAAGGTCAGCAGTGAAAATGTAGGAGGCTCGGCTGAGTCAATTAACATACAAAATGGACAGAAGTCGATGGCTGCCAGGAGGAGCAAGGGAAAGCGCTCAAGATCATCCCAGGTTGTGAACATACACCACAGGCTCAAGGAGGGAGCGGCTCAAGGCACGCAGGCTTGGAGAAGGCCCTCTGCCGTTCCTGGAAACCCGTCCATGGTTTGCCTCAGCACAGCTGTACAGGGAAAGCATACCTCAGGAGGCCATAGCTTGGGCTTCCCTTGCTGGCAGCTGAATGGATGGGGGGAAGGGGGCCATGCGCCCAGCATGAAGCTCACTCACTGACTGTCCCCTAAGCCACATGGGGGCTGATTCAAAAGGGAAACCTGGCAGACCAGACCCCTCTGCCAAGGACAAGAATGGGAGAATTCCAAGAGGACAAGGCACATGACAGAGGACACTACTAACGTATCACCACAAATGGTGGACCGTGAGACACTGGGAGGCAGGTGTCACACTATGCCATCAGCTTACTGTCTGAAGCGGGTGGGCACACAGTGTCTATGTCCACCCGCAGTAGAGAGCCACAGTGCTCAAACTTGGGGATGACTTGGGGATGGCTAGGGGAGGTAACTTGGAGGTGACTGACTTGCGCAGTCACCTCTAGTCGCTGGGAAGTCACAGGAAGAGTCCTGACTACTTTTCAGCTTCTGACTGTAGTCCCGGGCAAGTCACCAAACCACCCTGTGCCACAGTCACCACAGACGTGAGAAGGGGTGACAGTCATGTCGAAGCCAGATCAAGTCCACAACCAGCAAATGCCAAGTGCCCCGCAGGTGGCTGACAGAAGTCACTCCTGACAGGAGCCAGAACGGGCAGGGAAAAGGCCCACTGACAGCCTGTTCTCCAGAGTCACTTAGCATCAACCAAAATCTCTGGTAGGGACTCCGCCTCTCCTGCCTCCCAGGCTGACCCTGCAGACCATATAGAGCCAGGAGGTTCCAGCAGTGACAGGTGATCCCGTGAGTGGAGGGAGGGGGCATAGCTGTGTCTGTTAGCTTCAGTCCCAGCCCCTCCCCAGCCTGTACGGCTATGCTCCATGCCTTGCTATGGGAGAAGAGGAGGGTCATGAAGGTGACATGCCCTGTGCCTGCAGGGGGCTGGCTCAGGCCTGTATTCCTATGGGCAGTGACCTACTTTTTTCAAGCAGCTAATGGCTGCAAGCTGTTGCTGGCTGAGGCAAATGGACTCCACAAGGCAGACAATATGACTCTTGAAGTCTCACTGACTGGACCTGTTAGAGCTTGGAGGAGACAGGAAAGTGGAAGCTCACAAAACCCTGGATTTCCTGGTTCTGGGGTACAAAGCCACAACATAGTGAACACAAAGCCTGAGAAACAGGCACCTGGCCAGGACTCTGCAATATCAGGGAAAGCCCTGGATTAGGTGTCGTGAAGATTAAGTCACCATATTGGTGCAGGTGGGGCTCCCCAACAGGACTATGGCATCCCAAAGGTCTGCAACTGAGCTCAGACACAAAGACATACATAAGCACAAAATGCCACCTTGACCTCCCATGACACACTGCAATGGAAAGCAGGTGTGCCAACAATATTGTCAGATGCCACCTTCTCGCCACGTGGGTGAGAGGCAGGTGAATTCCACATTTATACCCAGATCACATTCCCAACATACCTCATTATGAATATGCAGATAGCCTAAAAACTGAAACAAAATTGTGATGCATGCATTTTGGACAGAGGACAATGGACTTGTACCGTGTAGCGCTCCTTATGTAGTTTGCTGTGCACCAGGCTCAGGAAAAGCACTTTCTCATTGTACAAAAGTAACCGCTTCCTACAGGGTAGGCACTTCTCATGGAAGGCACCATTCCCAGCTGCAGACAGGTGAGGAGCTCGGATAGGTTTTGTTATCTGCCCAACATCACACAGACAGACAGGAATCCAGCCAGGTCTAGACAAAAATGTGCCTGAGGCTGAAGTCCTTGTGTCTAACCACTGACCAGGTTGGTTTTTTTAGGCTCACGTTCATGGTGCCTACAGGAATATGGCATGAACTAGACAGGCAGAGGGCTATGGCTATTATGGTTTGGGCAAGTCTGGATAGGTGGCTCAGGGCACCTTTATGCCTAGTGGTTCCTCGCCTCACTTCCCTCTGTGCCTTTATGCTCCCTGACCCTGCTTCAGGGCACAGAGGTACGGCCTCATCCAAGAAAACCTCAACACCTTAGGGTTTGGGCTCACCCAAGTCAGTGCATGGTGGAGAGAAAGGAAGCTGCTCAAAGGTAAACCCCTAGTGTGGTGGGTCAGCTATTGCTCAAGACTGAAGACCGATTCAACCTGTTGTCCTCAGAGAGAGCCAGAGTGAGCGACAGTGACAGTTCTCTGATGCCTGAAGGCCATTCCTCAAGAACTCTTAACCCTGAAGCATTTCCCTGCTGCATACATAAAGAATCACTGCTCCTACTCCTTGTCTTTGCCCGTGGCAGGCATTACTAATGGATCACAGAGCCCTTCCCATCCCAAAGCATTTCCCTGTGGCACACTGCAAAGCATCACTGCTCCTACTTCTGGCCTTTGCCCATGGCAGACATTACTAATGGATCACAGAGCCCTTTCTCCTCTAAGAATCAGTCACATTTACAGAAAGCCTTTGCATCCCTCCCTCAGATAAAATAAATGAAAATTCCATCAAGTAACGCTGTGAAGAAAACATTCTGAGGGGTACCGTTGCAAGGACATCATGGTGGGCAGGGGGCAGTGTTGCATTAGCCCTTCTCCAGTTCTCTCCTCCTCTGGGGTGGGGGTGCCTGGGACCGCACACTTGCTCAGTGACTAGGGTCTGGTGGAAGTAGCCGGCACTTACCTTGGACTTGACAGCCAGGATGATTTTAGGCAGGGCCACGATGAGGCACTTGAGGGCAATGGTGATATACTTTAGCACAAAGTCTGCGATCCCCACGATCCATAGCAGGTCAAAGAAATCCAGTGTCTCCAGGTTGGGCTTCAGGAATATGAGGCTGGGGAGAGCGTCCGGAGAATCAGTCACTCATTTACACCCTGGCCCTATCGGCTCCCACTCACCAGGGACCTTGCAAATATCAGCAGCAGAAAGCACACTGACCTTGGTGTCACACCTCTGTGGCCTGCTTTGCTGTGTGACTTTAGATGGGACTGTCAATCTCTCTGAGCTTAGTTCCCTAGAGGACTAAATGATGATATCATCATAAAGGTACCCCCATTTGCATTTTGTTGTATGTATTCCTGTGTGTTCAGGTGCACATGTGTGTACAGATGAGCACCTGCATGTATGTGGAGGTCAGAGGTCAACTTCATGTGTTCCCCAGGAGCCGTCACCTTTTTTTCTTTCTCTTTTTCTTGACATAGGATCACCTGCTGACCTAGAACTCAGCAATCAGACTAGGCTGGCTGGCTGGTGAGCCCCAGTGGGGTTCACCTGCCTCCACCTCCTCAGTGCTAGGGTTCTGGAACTCAAACCTGGGTCCTTGTGTTTGCCTAGTGAGTGTCCCCCATCCTGCCACCATCCCCTTTAGTTTTGTGTATCCAAAACAGTCTTCATAGGAAGGAGGGGCAGAGGAGGTGGGGGGAAGAAAGCCCTGGGCCCTATGCTAGGGTCCTTACTTTGGGGATCTCATTAACCCTCCCACCACACGGGGCTCGGCAGTGAGCATGGTTTAGCTACACTTCAGAGAGGAGGACCAAAACTCCAGGTCACAAGATCAGATGGACTTGCATTCACATCTAGGCTGGTCAAATCAACCCAATGTCATCAGCTAATCAGGGCTCACTCTCTCTTCCCTAGCTTACCTGACAGGCCTGGATGATCACAGTTGTACTGCAGACCCTGCCAAAGTGGCGACAGTGGCTCACCGGGGTTTATTTACATGTTTTTCTGAACTCAAACATCCTCCCTTGGATCACTGCTTTCTTCATTACATTACTATATAAAAGTACACCCAAACTCAAGTAATGTTTGTGCAGCTTTACACTGTATAAGACTGTAGTCTGCCCCACTATTTCAGGTCCTTAGATCCCACGTCCAGCAGACAAGACCTGCAAGTTTGGCCGAAAAGTCCACAGCAAGGGACGGAGGTGGACGTGCAGCCAGGAAACCTGGCTGAAAGGAATGCTGTCAATCAATCCACGTTGCACACTACAGCTACTCAGTGTGCAGACCTGTGGCACCTGTGCATGACCAGACACAGGCCCATTGCATCTGTCCCTGCCAGGCAGGTGACAATTCCATTTGCTTGTATATGATCCTGTAAGCCACAAACCTATTGAACTTAGGAAGGATGCAAACCCATTTCACCTGTGAAGGACTGGCCAAGTGCAAATGCATTTCACCTATGCAAGACTGAGCAAGTGGCAAACCCATATCACCCATGCAGGATCAGGCACGTTGCAAACCCATTTCAGCTGTTCACAGTCAAGCACACTGCAAACACAATGTTTAGGACTCTGCAGTTTGAATTTCAAGCTCAGTTGCTATACTTATCTCACTGCAGGCACACAACAGATAGTTTCCAAACTGGTCCCGGTCCATGGCCCACACTTTGGCTCTGCTCTCCAACATCCCATTCATAATTTTAACGAAAATAAAAACATCTTGGCTCCCTCTGTCATTCCAATCCTGCTCTATTTACTTTGTTCATTTCAAGTCATTTCACCCTCCCATAGGTCCTAGGAAGGATGACGCAGGTACAAAGCTTATCCCTTTCTAAGTTGATACCTCGGTACAAAGAGGTGCAGTCACCTGATCGTGCTGCCTCAGCTACAATATGGCATTAGGCTCGAAGCCAGGATGGTGGGCACTGGCTCCTTTCCTCCCTTCTTGCTGGGTTAGAGGCTCCTACCTGCTTCCTCCGTCACTGGGAAACTCACAGCAAACACGGAGAGATGTTTTCTAAATGCCCAGGAAACCTAACAGAGGGCAGAGAGGGGCGTGGAGTAAGATCCCTACTCTAGCACCCTGAGAATCCATGCTGGTGGCTCCCCATGCCAACTTCTGTGACCTTCCACAAACAATCACAGCCGTCTCTGCGGGACTTCTCATTCCAGCTTCAGTGGCCATTCCTGGCCACCAGAGCCAAGTCTGACCTCACTCCTGGGGTCTGCTCTCACCCTCTCCTGGGGACCCTGACCTCACTGGCTGACCTCCATCTCAGGCAGACCTCGCCACTAAGACATGGCTTTCCTATGTGACTCAGGCTGGCCCTGAACTCACCATCCTACCCTTTGGCTTCACGGACTCTAGTGTGGGGATAACAGGTATGTGCCCCTCTGTCTGGATGGCTGTTTTTCTCTGCTTTTGGTAGTAGTGGTGGCGGCGGCAGATGGGTTAGCAGTACAAAACTGTTTCCCGTGGTCAAACCCCGAGTTCACTCATCTCCAAAATTGTCTTTGCTCATTGATGTGTTTACTGTTAATGTATTACAAGTTTGTCCTTTGGGCACCACCAAGAATGGCAGTGATTACATATAAAATATTAGGAGGCGGAAGAGAGATATTAGTGGGGGTTTTTTGTTTTGTTTTTACTTTTTTTTTAAACAAGATTTATTTATTGATTTACTTATTTGTGTAGATGTGCGCCCCTGCACGCAGATGCTCAGAGGCCACAGAGCATCGGATATCTCAGAATCAGAAATGCAATCTGCTCTGTGTGCATGCTGGGTACTGAGCCTGGGTCCACTACAGGAGCGGGAAGCTCTAACCACTGGGCAAACTCATTAGCCCCTATTTTTTATTTTCTGAGTGTCTTGGTATATAGGTCAGGCTGGTAGTTCAAGGTCATCTCCAAACACATCTTGAGCTTGACTACATGAGATCCTGTCACCAAACAAACCAAACAACAACAACAACAAAAGGCCTCCAGCCTCAAGTACTGCATCAGAGTACTAGGGAAAAACAGACTTTGTGAGGCCTCTTTCTACTGGAACAACACGAGTTGCCGCCCTGAGGGGCAGCATAATACAACGGCTTCGGGAACCACTCGTAGACACCTGGAGACTGGCGGCACCAGAAGGGACAAGGTCTTGGCCCTGTGCCTTTCTCCTGCCCTCTCTGCCAGCCTCCTGTGCTGACAGTTTGACTCGGCCCTGGTCTGTTGGAGGCACTGAGTCTACATCCAAGAACACGATGGTGTCTAGAAAACACCATGAGTGGGAAACTGGTCCCAGCTGCCGGGAAGCCGCATCTCCTCTGCCCTTCAGCAGGACCTTGGCATTGGGGAGCATGGGACCAGGGCATGGCACGGCAGTGTGGATGCTCAGACTGCCAAGAAGACTGCTCTGAAGCACCCTGCCCCCTGCACTTTTGACCTGGCTGCCGCAGACAGATTTTCATAGTGAAGGGGGCCATGATCCACAATCCAAGAGCCCACCTTGAGTTCGCATCCTGTCCAGAGTCCAACCCTCCCCCTCCCCCCACAGGAACCCTTATGACGGTCACCCTGCAGCGAGAACATGCTGGTGAGATTCTCCTAAGAAATTTCCACTTTTTCACTCCGCCCACACTACCACTCTTCATCCTTAACAAACTGTCCCTGTTAAAGCATCCACCCCCTCAGGCAGGGATGCCGGGACATGTGTATTTTTTCCCAACTGTGGTAAAACAGGAGTAATGGGAAAGCTCCTCCCTCCATCATTTATGTGTGTGACTTCACAAAGGCACATTCATTCACACTGTGGACAGCTCTCACTACTAACCCTGCCTGCTCTCACAAAACCCCAGACCCTGTTACACAGTAGGTCATCACTTCCTCTCCCCAAGTCCTGCCAACCATCTCCCATGTCCTCCCCATCTCCCCGTCCTCCCTACCTCCCCTCCCCTCCCCTCCCCACCTCCCCTCTCCTTCTTTGAGACAAGGTTTCACTATGTGACCCATACTAGTCTCCAACTTGAAATCCTCCTGCCTCAGCTTCCTCCTGTATCTAAGTAACATTTTTGATTACACAATCATCCCTAGGTGCCTATGGAGGACTCTTGTCTATGATTTGCAAATAATCTTACACACCCTCACCAGCCAGACTTTAGAGGACTCTTAGTACCCTATGCTATGTAAATGCTTTGTAAATAGTTGTCCTGCTGTATGGTTCAAGGAGTAGCAGCCAGGACAGAGCCTGCATGCATTCAGTCCCAACTTAAGTGTCTCCAACTTAAGAGTACTTTTTATCTGTGGTTACTGCTTCATGGGTGCAGAACCCACAGCTATGGAAAGAGAATAGTTCAATAAAATTATTAATAAAATTAATTCCATGTGGTTTTATTCTTCTCTTTCATGTGACAATTAGAAGATGTTGCATATCCACTGGTGTCCTGTGTGTGTGTGTGTGTGTGTGTGTGCATGCGTGTGTGTGTGCGTGTGTGTGTGTGCACGTGTGCATGCACACTCTCTCCCTGAAGCAAATAAAACAACAGGTGGAACCTGAGTTTAATGAAGGCCTGAGGCTGGCATCCTTGTTCACTTACAGCATTCAGTGGTGTGCCCCATGGCCGGAGATGCCCCCTCTTACCTGCTGTAGAGTTGCTGGGAGCTGAAGGTGTAAAGGACATACAGCGTGTTCCCTGCCAGGAAGGCCAGAATCCACAAGATGACCAGAACCGATCTCTTCTCCTGCATACAAAGTAAAAGAACCATGGGGATGTAGTGAAACCAACAGTACACATAGTGGAACTTTCTAGAATGTTCTGTGATGAGTGGAAACTTCACTGTCTCAAAGTTTTGAAGGAAGCAGAGCTGGTGGTAAGGAAAAGTTGCTGGTATTGTTCTAGCTCACTGGAACTCAAGGAGTAGCCACAAGATGGATGCCTCCTTGGAGAACCATCTAGAAAGATTACTATATTCATAGCAGACTCTGGAGTGACATGGGCTAGCTGTACACCCTTAGCCGGCATTTGACATACTCCCATTGGCTCCATCCTGCCTGGGAGCTGCCCAATCCTGGACAAGCTACTTAAATAGGTCTATAGCAGCAGCTACCTCACAGGTTCCTAGGAGTGAGTGTACATACACTACTTAGAGTGCCTGGCACAAATGTCTGCTGTTGTTAAGAACTGGGCACAAACTGGGCGTGGTGGCCCACAGCTGCAATCCCAACACTCAGAGGTAGAGGCAGGAGGATCAGAAGTCTGAGGTCATCCTCTGCATATAACAAGTCTGAGGCCACCCTGGGCTGTGTAAGACCCCATCTCAGAACAAGCAAATCAGAGCCAGTGAGATGGCTTTGCAGGTACAAGAGCTTGACCAGGCCTGGGTTCTTGAGTTGGATCCCAGGACCAACACAGTGGAAAGAGAGAACCAACTCCCGAAAGTTGCTCTCTGACCTCCGTCGTATGCTGTGACACGTGCCCCACCCGAGGAAATAAATTAGTAAAGATTCAAACAAAACAACAACAAAACAGTCAAGTACCTTGTTCAAAGACATCATTTAGAGATGCAGGTGCAGCTAAGAGTTAGGTAGTGAAAATCGGGAGTGGTAGCCACGCCTTTAATCCCAGCACAGACAGGCAGGCAGATCTCTGAGAGTTCAAGGCTAGCCTGGTCTACATAGTGACACTCTGTCTCTCACATATGCAAAGGCTCCTTTGTTTTTGCCCAGCAGCTGTGGGGCCTGACAGCAATCCCAGAACACATCTAGTCTGCAGAGCAGGGCATGCTCCTGCCCCAGTGCCCTGGGAGGCAGATCCCTATGCTGTTGACCTTCCAAAGGCCCAGGGTAGCTGCTCCGCTGGAACAGATGAGGTCATAACTTTCTTATTGACCCTTCCTTGTGGTTTTGGTAAATGTTCCACTCACACTGTCTCAGACCTGACCCAGAATCCTGTGCTCTGCTGCAATGCACATCTCCAGAGAAGGAGCAGACAGACCCATCTCAATCCTCCCATTATTCCAGAAGTCAAGGTTCATGACCAAGGGGCTACCTCCAGGGGCCAGGAGATGGTTCAGTAATGAGTTTGATTCCCCAGCACCCAGGTGTGGTGATGCATGTAGCTGCAATGGGGAGGCTGAGAGACAGCAGCATTTTAGAACTCACTGGCAGCCATCCTTGTCCAATCAGTGAGAGGCCCTTCTCCAGAGATAAGGTGGGCAGCAATGGAGAGAGACAGAATACAGATGCTGATCTCTGGCCTCCACACACATGCATCTATGTGTGCACGTGCACACACATACCCAGAAACCACCTCCAACCAACAGACAACTCCTGTCAGTGAGACTGACTCACTTGGCAGCCCCCTATTTCCCCCAATAAATGGCAGGACCCAGCTTAGTTTGGGAAGGTCCCAGAAAGGCAGGAGCTGAAGGACAAGAAGCCAGATTCCTAAGCTTAAGGCTGGTCACAGCAGTCATGTTCACAGAAAAGGAAGCACACATGTACAATGTGTAATCCTGGCACTCAGGCCGAGGAAGGAGTATTGCAAGGTCAAAGCCAGCCAGAACTATGCAGAGAGTTAGAGGCCAGTCTGGCCGCATGGCAAGGCTATGTCTCCTCCATACACACCTACCTCAAAACAAAATATGCATGTGTAGACATAACTTATCTGTGTATTCACAGAGCTCAAGCATCCCAGGAGGCTTATCCATGGATAGGTATCCTCTTGGCCCTGAACACCTAAGCCCAGGCACCATGGTGATGGCATTGCATTGACACTGGCCCAGTCCCCAAAGATCCCCCCTGGGAGTGAGTCACTCTGCAGTTTTCTTATCAGACGGGTTTGTGTGAAGATGAGGCAGAGGGTCACTTCCAGCCCTGGATTTCACATGCAAAGGGGGCCTGGGATGCATCCATGATTTGGGTAGAATGCAGGTGCTGTCACAGGGTCACCTGCTCTGCAGAAAGCAGCTTTGAAAAACAGATCGATTTAGCATTTCCTATAGGCCAGGCACCACATTCGACCCCTTCTACACTTTTTCTTATTTAATCACCTCTGAGTTGGCAGAGTGTCTTGACTTAAGAAGGGGTGATGTTCTCAGGTACCCATTGCAAGTTGAAAATAATGACAATACTTTGGACACATCCAGCCTGCTCAACAGCCCTGCTTAGCAGTCCAGCATGTTGTCGCGTGTAGGTTGTCACCCCTCTGGGCTGGCTAGGAGCTGGCCTGGAGCTCCTGGCCTTCACATCTTCCAGTTCACCCTCCTGAGTCTTGGGACTAAAGGTGCAGCTGCCAAGACCGGCTCAAGCCAGACAGATGCGTTGCTTTGCCACTGTCATAAAGATGAGCTAGTGGAACTTGAGGTCTCCTAAGTCGGGGAAGCAATGGGACCCCTTTTCTAGGGAGCAGCCTATGGCTAACAGCTGCAAGGCACCTATGTGGGCCTGACAACGAGTGTGGTATTGACAACTCCAAGGCATCTGTTATTGGCCTGACAATGAGCAGAAGTATTGTTTTTTAAAGTGTGTGTGTGTGTGTGTGTGTGTGTGTGTGTGAGAGAGAGAGAGAGAGAGAGAGAGAGAGAGAGAGAGAGAAGGATGCATGCATTCATAACTGCAGGTGTGCATATGTCACCGTGTGCATGTGGAGGTTAGAGGACAACCTTGGGTGTAGGTCCTCACCTTCTACCTTGTTAGTACTCTGATCTTGACCCCGACAGACCTGTGTCAGATCTCGTCTGCAGAGCTGTGAGACAGGAATCAATCACTGGCAGCCATGCGGGACTCACCTTCAACGACACCTGCTCCCGGAGGGTGGAGTTTGCATAGGCGAAGGTGCTGGCCATCCCGATGCACACAGCAATGCCTGTAGGAAGCACAGCGTGACATGGGGGACATGTTGCTTGCCACCCACTCAGACCTCTCCAGCCTAGCCCAAGACCCTGAGCAATCCTGGAAAGAAAAATCATCCAACTAAAGTTCTTAGTTGGCAAGCTAAGAACTGAGGGGAGAAAGGCCAACATCCAGGGATTAGGCTACAAGGCACATTAGCAAGAACGCTCATCCCCTCATCTGAGGAGAGGATTTAGAGGGGCCAAAGGGGGGGCTGTGTGGTGTGGCCAGACCGAGTTCAAATTCCAGCTCTGTCACTTTTGTTGTGTGAGTACAGGTGTGATGGACATACAGACAGACAGACAAACTGCTAACAGCACCCACCTCACAGAAGGGCATTGCACACAGCTAACTTGTCCAGCGGTGGCCCTGTGGGCTGTCTAACCATGTCTACTCTAGGACAAACCTGGAGTTATTTGTTATACAGACCCAAGAGGCCATGGGGGAGTTAAACGATGCTAAGGGAGAAGAGGAACCCCTTCGGCGTCAGGCACGGGGGAGAATGGGACTGAACTCATGTAATCGCCCTGTCCCCAGTCTGCAGTCCAGTCTCGTTCCTGTGAAGCGACTTGAATGACTGTCAAATCCTGCTGTGTTACTTCCCACAGGACTAAGACATGACTGGCTTAGGACTGATTTTTAGTGTTAGATTTTTCTCTAGGACCAAATAGAAGTGTTTCTCTTCATTAGAAACAGGTAAGAATGGTAACTAGTACTTTTTCTTTCTTTCTTTCTTTCTTTCTTTCTTTCTTTCTTTCTTTTTTTTTTTTTTTTAATACTTTTCTTTTGGATTGAACAATAAACAGGGCTGGAGATGGCTCAGTTGGTAAAGGGGCTTGCTGCCAAGCCTGACAACCTGAGTTCAATCCCTGGGACCAACACTGCAGAAAGACAGAAACGACAACTGGAAAATGTCCTCGCGCCTCCAAACAGGTGCCACTGCACATATTTGTGCACATGCACACACACATGAAATGAACAATTGTAAATTAAAAGCAAACACATAGTGCTCTGAAGCTGGGCATTGTGGTGCACACCTGCCCTACCTATAACCCTGCCTATAACCGTAACATCGAGGAAGCTGAGCCAGGGACACCAAGTTTGATGTCTGCTGAACTACAAAGGAAGCTCGTCTCAAACCAACCGATAGATAATGAAAGAAACAATGATGACGACACTCAAGAATCACATAGCTCTAAGGCTAGACATGGTGGCACCTGTCTAGAATTCTGGTGCAGAGGAGGCAGAGGCAGGAGGATTGCTGCAAGTTCAGAGTGAGCCTCAGCAACAAACTTACACAGTTATACTGACAGCCAAGGCTACAAATGAGACCTTGTCACAATAAATAAATAAACCGAAGCAAAACAAACAAACAAAAACCCCTTAGACATAAGCTTGGCAGAATGCAGGGTGAGGCTTGAGGACATGCTGGCTTCCATGTCTAGGAACAGCAGGAAAGGGAGTGACATTGGGGTTCCAGAAAGGAGGGGTGACACTTTGGCTAGAGTCACTCCCCAGGGAGTGGAAAATAAGAAAAAAAAAGTTGGTTTCATCTTGAGATTTTCTTTTCTTTCTTTCATTTATTTTTTTTAATTGTGTGTGAGCAAGCACCTTAAATACACTCTCACACATGCTTGTGTGCAGGACAGGACAATTTTTGGGAGTTCTCGCTTTCCACCGCTGAGTCTGGTGGGGGATTGAACTCAGCAAATCAGGTGTGTAAGGCAAGCACCTTTACCCATTAAGCCACTCGCTGGCCCTTGAAATTGTCCTGTATGGGAGGAAGGAACTGAGTCATGGTCTGTAAGTACTGCAGGGGAGAGTGTTACCATCAACACTGCAGAGACCATCATGCAATGGTGAGTGTGTGTTAGGTCCTTGGCTAAGTACCACACAAGTCCCTGTCATACTAACTGAGTACCTGTTAGGTGCCAGGCTCTGTCAGGGGTGCGTGTGTGTGTGTGTGTGTGTGTGCATGCGTGTGTGTGCGCGTGCGTGTGCGTGCGTGCGTGCGCATGCGTGTGTGTGCGTGTGTGTGCGTGTGTGTGTAACCTGTAGGAGTGGGTTCTCCACATGGGTCTGGAGGACTGAGCTCAGTCAGGCCATCAGGTTTGGTGCCAAGTGCCCTCACCTGCTGAGCTATCTTGCTGGCCCTGGGTATTTGAATGTCTGGCTGTGACAAACACACTTGCAGAGTACTTCCTCCATGTGTGTTACATATGTGACCTCAAATACAGCCTCTGCATTTGTGGGGAGTGTTCTGGGATCCCCGTAGACATCCAAACCGGTGTCTGTTTCAGTCTGAACATGAAATGGCATCGTGTTTGCATAAAACCTACACCCGGCCTCCTTTGTCCCATCGTCTCTATGAATACCGTGACAGAAACACCTCATGGTGTACCGTGGATGGAATATGGTCTGGGCATGTCCAATACAGACACTCCCTTCTTCTTGAATGTTGTGTCTTACGCGTGTGCACATGTGTCTACATGCATGTGGAGGTCACATACTGTCATCAGGTGTCTCTCACTGTCACCCTCCACCTTAGTTTTTGGAGACTGAACCTGGCCAGTGACCTGCAGGGATTCTCCTGTGGGGTAACAAGTATGCACCTGGTAGTTTATGTGGGTACTAATGATTGAGCAGAAGTCTGCATGCTTACAGGACAGGCATGCTCCTCCCTGGAGCCACTCCAGGCCTTCCCTGAATGTCCCGTGTGCAGATGGTTGACTCTACAGAAGCAGAATTGGAGACTGAGAGGAACAGCTATCTATACTTATCCCTTATTTGGAAGACACATGGGACTGAGGCGGAGGGTTAAATAACATGCCCAGTGTCATGCAGCTAGAACAGGCTAGAGCTGAGGTTCCGACCCCGGAAACCTGAGTTCTTAGTTATGCCACGTTGCTCTTTCCACCCTACCTAGAGACCAATAAAGAGATTTCACTCAAGCTTAACTGAGAGAAGAAAACGGAGGGCTAGAGAGGCCAGGCCTGGCACAGGCCGGAGATCATACAATTGGGCGGGAATTTGAACCCAGGTCTGACACAGAACTCCACACGTGCATTCAAGCTTGGTGCACCATAGCTCCTCTACTGTGTGGCCCTGGCTCTGGAAATGCCCAGCCCTCTTCTGGAGCTGCACGGCCCACGGGGACTTACCCAGTTTGTGCTGGAAGCACAGCTTGGCCAGCAGAATGAGGATAAAGGGCAGTCCCTTCTGCAGCCAGCAGATCACAGCCTTCAGCTCGGACAGGGCGGGCGCTGGAGTCCCTGGCTGCTCATCGACCCCTTCCTCCGAGTGCCCACGGTGGTGGTCCCCACCCACGTGCTGCAGCAGGGAGCTCCCACGGTGGGCGGCATGGTGAAAATGGTGGTGGGGCTGGCGGTGGTGGTAGCTGCTTCCTTCCGTGCTGCGGCCACCGGCCTCATCCCTGGCGGCTGGCATGGGGATGAACACGTCCCCGCCACCTGCCGCGGAGCCCAGCACCAGGCCTGCTGGGAAGGGGTTGGCAGGCAGGCCACCTGCTAGGCCTGAGAAGATTGCAGGAGGGGAGGCGGACTCTGCCTTCAGGCTCTCAAATACACCACCCTCATCCACGCTGGCCTCTGGGCTGAGCGCCTGGCTGCGGCTTCTGCAGGACAGGGTAGCAGACAAAGCTCACATCAGACCTGGCCCCAAACTCAGACTGCAATTTAACCCCTGAGCTGGGAGGGTGCAGACTTAACTCCACTATGGTGTCTAGAGGGAAGGGGGTCTGCACAATTACAACCGGATGAGGTAATCAAGGGTAGCCACCAGGATTGAATCCTGGGAGCTTTATGGGAAGAGAAAGTGTGAACCAGAAATAACCAGAAGGCCAGATGCATCACCAACATCCAGAACTGTTAATGTAATATACCTCCTTTCTTTATCACTTCACCCAGCATAGAGTGATCTGGTTTTGCAACAGAAAAACAGATCAACAGTTATGAGACAGAAAAACGGCACCCTCACGGGATAGTGGGCACGAAGTACCAACAATGTCACTGACACAACTGTGCCTCCCCTCAAACTGTTGGGGGTAGTGCTAAGCCCTCGAATCCAAGAATGTGAATGTATTTAGGGGCAGGGTCTTTAAATAGTGGACCCCAATCCAGTATGGCAGATGCCCCTGCAAGGAGAGATCAGGACAGACGCACAGCAGGTCAGGAAGAGAGGCTTCAGGAAGCAAGTCCCTGTATGTGAAGCTGTCTGTGGCACTACTGCTAATGGGCTTGTGATCCCAGCACTTGGAAAGGGGAGACAGGAGGATCCTTAACTTCAACAACAGGCTGGACAACTTAGTAGAGACCTTGTCTGGAGAAAGTGAGAAGGCTAGAGACGGTTGCTCAGTGGTAAGGATCGGGGTCCAGTGTGTTTCTTTGATTGACTTATGAACTCCCACAAGCCTATGTTAGGAATACAATATTCCCATTTCACAGATAAACCAATGGAGGCACACACAGACACAGGCACTTGGTTGGAGGTGAATGGCTGTAAGGGATAAGAACCAAGGATTTGGTCCCAGGTGGACCAACTCTAGAACCTACACTTATGCATTTATGTTTGAGGCAGGGTCTCATTTATCTTAACCTGGTCTCAAACTTGCTATGTAGCTGAGGCTGATTTTGAACTCCCAGTTCTCCTGCCTCCACCTCCCAAGTGTTGGGATTACAGATGTGCACCACATCAGGTTTTATGGAGTGCTGGGGATCAAGGGATCTTCTTGAGTGAGGCGGAGTAATGCACCCACTGAGCCACATCCCAGCACTGGGATTTCTCAAGCACCCCATAAAAATTGCTTTTTGGACTTGACCTTGTGACATCCTGTCTCTACTTATATATATATATTTGATTATTTCACCATCATGTTAAAAGCCCTCCAAGGAGCTCCCAGCCTCTATTTCTAGACGATTCCGCTATGTTCTAGAGAACGGTAGCAAGAGCATTCCCATTTTACAGACAGAAACTGAGGCTCCAGTTGAGCACCCTAAACTCCAATCTCACACTGGACTTCTCTCCTCTCAGGGGCTTCGTTCTTCAGGCTGCTGTTGTCATTACACTGTCCTCTAGCCCTGCGTCACCCGGTCTAGGTTACCTCATCCTGCCTCCATCAGATGTCAGCCGAAAACATCTCCACGATGGGAAGGCAGTGGCCACCGCTCACCAAACCCAGTGCCTCCCTGCAGGGGACTGACCTCCCTCTTTCCTTTACTGCCCACATTTCCCTAAGGACTCAACACCCCCAATCCTGGTTGTGTGCTGTGTCACTGTGGGGAGCCCAGGGCAACTGCAGGTGGCCTACACCCATCAAAGACCAAATGCATTAGAATCATTGGGAGTGGGCCCTGGACCTCGACTTCTCAAATCCCCCGGAGATTCCAACGTGCAGTGGCATGGACAAACTTGACTGCTTACTCCCTTTTGTACCTCTGTGGGAAAGCACTATGCGTCCTGCACAGAGCATGCTCAACCAGTGTTGTCTGAAGGAATGAGTAAGAAAGTTCCAGGGCAGCCAAGGCTACATAAAGAAACCCTGTCTCCAGAAGCGGGGAAAATAGTTAAAAGCATTGCTTGAGCCTGGTATTTACGTTAACTCATTTGATCACAGAATTGTTTTCACCCCTGGAAAATCCTATCAGTGTTGTACAGGACATTGAGACACATGGCAAGGGACAGGTGGGTCTGGAGAAGTCTCAGGGCTGCTCCCTTCACAAACTGGACTTCATGGAACATCGTCCTAACCCTGGCACAGCTTGAAGATGGCCACCTGGTCACTCTCCCCACCAGGCCCCCTCCCTGGTGGCTCCAGAACTTGGGGACTGCGTGGTCCTCCTCCCTTGGGCTCTGGATAAAAATACTGATGATATTAGTGGTAACAACAACAGGCACCATGGCTATGTGTCTCCAAGGAATTCAGCTTTCTCTGCATTTCAAGAGCTTGGCTCAGAAAGCATGCGTTCTGTCAGGTGCCCGGGCCTATGTGGACGACCCTACCATCCCAGGGGACCCTGGAAAGCGTCCCCCAATCCCTGAGCTCACTTGAGTTCCTGAGGCCCCAGGGAACTTCAGTACAACTACGGAAAGCTCAACCCACCAAAGGCTTTTTTTTTTTAAAGTCGCCTCCCTCCCTCGGTCCCTCTCCTGTATCCAGTTGGGACTGTAGCCAAAATGGGAAAGAATATTCCTTGGAGGATTGGAGCTGCATTTTCAACTTAACCACTTAAAGGCAACAGCTCTGAGAGCCCGGGGGAATGGGTCCTCTTGGATAGAAGAAGGTAAAATATGACGTCTATAAGGGGCCCATACCTTCACAGGTAAAGGTACCTACGGACAACCCTGGCAACCTAAGTTTGATAGCCTGGAACTCACATAGGGGAATGGGGGAACTGACTCCCACAAACTGACCTACACGCACAGGCACCCCACCCAGATAAGTAAGTGCTGTGATTAAAAGTTAAAGCGCAAATTTTGATAGGAACAAACAGGACGAAGATCAAACCTTGCCCCACCATTCCCTGGCTGTGTGACTTTAGCTAATGGACTTGCCCTCTCTGAACTTCAGTCTCTCATTTCCAGGCTGCTTTAACGGAGGCACGGAGCATGCCCATAATACACACTGGACTGTATTTTTTTTTCTGCCCCCCAAAGATATCTGAGCTGTCTCAGCTCAGAAGATCCCAGCAGGCATGCTAACTGTTAAGTTGGATACTGCATCTGTGCCCATGAACACACATTCCCATGGTGATATTTTGTTTATGATCTAACACAGCTTTCCTGAAGATCAGGCAAAGCTAGCCACGCTAGTTAGCCATAGAGGCCAGGTCATGGTAGTACACACCTTTAATCCCAGCACTTGGGAGACAGAGGCAGATAGATCCCTGTTAATTGAAGGCCACCCTGGGCTACACAAGACTGAATCTGTCAAAGAGAAATAGAGCTCACACAGAGGTGATCTCAGCACTTGGGATCCCATGCCCTAGAGAGGAATATAAGGCGGGAGGAGACAGGAGCTCAGTGCAGTCTGAGGTTTGGAGGAGACAAATGCAGTCTGGAGATGCAGTCTGAGGACAGGGTCACCCTTTGGTCTTGAGCATGGGTAGAGTTGAGAACTCTTTAGTGGCTGGCCACCTTGCTTTAACCCCAATATCTGACTCTGGGTTTTTATCTGTGCTATACATTCCTTCATCCATCAGCAACTCTAACATTTCTCATCTTTCTATGGCTGGAGAAACTGAGACCTGGAGGTGTTGCCTCCTGCCAAAGGCAGCACAGCTGGCTCATCTGTCCACGCTCTGTGTCGATGACAAAATGCCTGAGACTGAATAAAAGTGTGGCTCCTCCCGTCCTGAAATCAGGATGGCTGAACCCAATCCACATGATTGGGCCTCAGAGAGAAAAGCAGGGAGGCCTCCCTACCTCACAGCTGCCCGTGTCCTGAGAGGAACTGTCATGTTTATGTGTGTGTGTATAAGTATGGTGTATATGTATGTATATATGTATCTTTAGGTATGTATATATGTATGTATGCATGTGTGTATATGTATGTATATGTGTATATACATACATGTGTGTATATATGTGTATGCATGCATATATGTGTGTATATGTATGCATATATATGTGTATGCATGCATATATGTGTGTATATGTATATATATGCATATATATGTGTGTGTATATGTATACATGTGTGTATACATATGTGTATATATGTATGTATATGTGTGTATATATGTATGTGTGTGTATATGTGTGTGCATATATATATGTATATGTGTGTGTATATTATATATGTATGTATATGTGTGTATGTGTGTATATATGTATACATGTGTATGTATATATGTGTGTGTATATATATGTGTGTATGTATATATGTATGCATGTGTGTATATATGTGTGTATGTATGTGTGTGTACATATATATATATATATCCATATATATATATATATGGGTGTTGGAAGGTTCCCTGAAGGGAGGACTCCAGCATAGCAGCTGCTGTGATTCCCACCCCTGCTGGGCTTTGTTTTTCTAGATAGGGTTTCTCCGTGTAGCTCTGAGACCAAGCTGGACTTGAACTCACAGAGATCCGCCTGCCTCTGCCTCCCGGGTGCTGCGATTAAAGGTGTGCGCCACCACTGCCTGGCTGGGCTGGGCTTTTTGGTGATCCAGCTGCCTTTGAATCACTCAAGGACCCCAGAAAGTGACCCCATTAAACACAAGGGTTTACACACAGTCATCTAGGAAGCAGGAGGTAGCTCTCAGCAGGCACAGATCTGCCAGCTCCCTGACCTTAGACTTCCCAGTCTGCATACTGATGAGGCAAGAGGCAGGCCGTGTGAATGATCACTGGTCTGAGTTAGATGGATCCATGTGGATCCATCTGTGTCAGTCGCCACTGCAAGGCTGTTCCCTCTGCTATGGTTTAGGTCTAAGGTGAGAGTCCCCTGAGGTGCTGTAAAGGTAGGGGTCCTGGGGAGTGCTATTAGGGGTGCTGTGGGCCTTTAAGAGGTGGAGCCTAGTGGGAGGTCTTTAGGCCCTTGAGGGTGTGCCCTGCATGGGGAGGAGCACCTTCAGAGCTGAGCACAGCTCTCCACTGTATTCCTTCAGGCAGCATCTCTCCCTGCACCCAGAGCAATCTGACTCCCGCCAGTCTAGCCAGATAAGTTGCCCAGAGATGCCTTGTCCCTGCCTCCCAGATACTAAGCCTACCTAGCCTCCCAGGTACCGGGATTCCAGGTGGCTGCTAAGCCAAACCCACAGTCTTTATGTGGGTTCTAGGAATCTAAACTCTGGTCCTCAGGCTTGCCTGACAAGCACTTTATTCTCCGAGGACTCTACCTGGTCCTCTCTGCCATGTTTGAGAAGTAAATCACTCCTTACCTACACACACAGCCAACGGCCACTGCCATCCATGATGCTAGGTGATGAGGTCAAAGGTGCCTGGCCACTTGCTCTCTCCCAGCCTCCTTTTCTCTTTATAAAGCTTGTGCTTGTGGTGTGTCCTGGGAGGATGCAAAGCTGGCAAACACACCACAGAGCGGTTTTCTGTTGTGTTGGTTTTATGTCTCCAGCAACTAATTTTGAGAAGCGGGTATTGCTCACTTCATCCAGAGCCTGGGGGCCCCATAAGGAAGGGAGTTGTGTGGGGGGGGTGGGGGGGTTAACTCTCACCTTTCAGACGGAATGCTGTCCGTGTTGCTACTGTGTCGTCTCTGCATTTTCCTTAGCACCTGAAAACCAACACACACGTGAACCACATTCCCCCTCCCACATCCCCTCCCTTGCCTGGCGCCATCGTAACTGTAAAGAAGCATCACTTACATTACACGGCTAGGGCTCTCTGACAACTTCCAAACCACATTTCTATCCCCACCTCACGGCGAGGCTCCTGAGAGCCACAGCAGAGGTGGTTCTTAAGCAAAAGGAGAAAATACCTAACGTGACTGTAGACAGAGTTAGACGGGGTGCGGTGCGCAGCAGGCACCGCCCATTAACTTGCTATGCGACCTCAGACAGATCGGAAACCTCTCTGTGGCCTCCCACTCCCCATCTGTCCCACGGGAGGGAGTGGGGCGGTCAAACTAAAAGCCTCCTTCCCTCTCGCACATTCCGTAAGTGACTTCCCGTGGAGACACCTGGTGCACCGCAAGGAGCCACTTCAGAACTCCATGTTGACGGAACGTGTCGTGGACATTCAGGGTTCCCGATGTGATGTGGACGCTGGATCCCAGAGCGAGCAGGCCTTGTACTCTTCCTCTTCAGAGGGAAGTGCGGGGCAGGGGCTCCTCCAAGACATCACACCTTGGGTGGCACAAAGCACTTGGGTGAAGAGGCCATGGGATGGTTTGTATTGTGTAATAATTTTGGGGGATGCAACCGGTAACTGTAACAGGTGGTCCTGTTTGCCCAATGGTTCTGCAGCCTCTTAGCTACCCTCCTCTGAGGCACTTAATAGATTGGTCTTAATAGTGACCTATGAATCCTGGGGCTTAGAGCCACAGCTTAGTTCTGTTGATAAAGTGCATAAGAACCTGAGTTTGCTCCCCAGCTCCTCTGTAAGTAGCTAGGCATGGTGGTGCACCATATAATCCCAGCACTGGGGAGGCAAAACCCAGAAGATTCCTGGGACTCCCTGGCCCAGCCCTTCTAGCTGATGAGCCCTAGGTCCCAGGGGAGAAATCCTATCTCAAATGAAATAAAATAAGGTAGCCGGTTCCCAAGGAATGATACCAAGGGTGACCTCTGGCCTCCATGCATGCATATGCAAACCACATTTGCAATCCTGTACACACACACACACACACACACACACACACACACACACACACACGCACGCACGCACGAAGAAAAAGAAAGAAAATCATGAATCCCAACTGGGGAATACAGAAAACCACTTTAGAACTTCCACTGGCTTCCCAGTAAAACCAGAGTTGTCAGAAGCTTCCAGGTTGTTCCAGAAGCACCACCACAGTTTACAACCTCACTTCTGTTTGTCACCTCCAAGATGCTCTAAAGTCAGGCTTCCCCTGGCTCCAGGCCTTCATGCTTGCTGTTCCTTCGCTGCAATGCTTTTCTAGCAGAGGGTTACATAGCTAACTTCATCAGTGCAAACGGTGCCTCCTTCCAGAGGCCTTCTCTTCTCCCCTGCTTCCTGTTGGGTCTGTGTGGCTTTCTCCACAGCACTTACCATTCGTTTACACACATGTCCATTTATTATGATCCGTGAGGAGACCTGGTGTCTGGTTTGCCCTTCTACCCCAGCATTGCAGAGATGGGAGTCCTACACAAAGACTACATTGGGTTTCCCAGCTACAGTTTTCTTAGGTCCCTGCATCTTGCTCCACTACACACACACACACACACACACACACAATCAAGAAAAAGGGACACAGCCTGCAGAGTCTGAAAGTGTGAATACTGCTCCTGCAGAGGTCCTAAGTCCAGTTCCCAGCGCCCTCATGGGCAGCTCACAACAACCGTTAACTCCGTCTACTGGCCTCTGAGGGCACCTGCACAAACACACACCCACACACACTTGAATAAAAAACATCTTTAAAGAAATAAAGGATATGCTTCCAAGAACAGGGAGGCTCAGCTTCCTGGAGTATTTTCCCCCATAGAGACCATCTCTTAGCCCAGGCCAGCACAAATGGCTTATTAATTCTGCACAGCCTTCTCAGGGTCACCAACCTAGGACGCCACCAACTAAGTAGCTTATCGTTTTTTGGAAGGCTAAATTAGACGGGAAAGGACTCCTTGGCATCATCATCATATATAGGCAAGCGCTCTATCATCGCGCTACACCTTCGACCCCGCCATCTTTATAAAAAAAGGAAACGTCATCGCGTAACATGTCCCCAAGAAATTGTAAAGGGGCTTAATACTCCCCTCTGGCCCAACTCATCCTTGGGGAAAATGAAACATATCATCGCCAAGTGTCCATCCTAAATTAAATGCCCAAGACCCTGTTGCAAGCAGGCGGTACAACTATTGTAATATCGAATCCCGTAGCACATCTTGCACGCAGGATGCAAAAGAATGAATGAATGAGGCGGCTCGGTTCCACACACCCTGGCCCTCCCTATGAGGCCACAGCGACCCTGAAGGACGCTTGGGCTCAAGCCGCGTCCCCAGGCCGGTCCAGGGCTGCACCGCGCCCACGGGGGAAACCTCTCTAGCCGGGTTTGCAGGGCGGCAGGGTAGGGACGGGCGAGCATAGCCTTCGTTTACCTGACAGCCACTTCGGCAATCACAGCCTCAGCTAATCCGGCCCAGCCAATCGCTGGCGCCGCCCGCGCGGCACGTGACTTCCGGCCGGCTCTGCCTGAGGGAGTGAGGTCGGCGCTAGGACCCAGGCACAGCAACGCTTGCTTCTGGTCCGCGACGGTCCGCCCCTGCCTCCGAATTCAGCCAATGGAAGGCCGTTGGCTCCACAGGGACCAATGGCGAGGGAGCATGGTGGGGGCCTGGCGGTGGCGTCACTGGGCGGGGCGGGGCGTGCGGCGGGTCACGTGGCCGGCGCTCCCGGGGCGAGGAGGCTGGGCCGTGTTGGGAGCGGACTTTCGGGGGTCATGCCGCGGGGTCGTCTCTGCGCCTGCGCCGCTCCGGGATGCTGAACCTGGCGGCGCTGCTGTGGCGCCGTCTCCTGCGCAAGCGCTGGGTGCTCGCCCTGGTTTTCGGGCTGTCGTTGGTTTACTTCCTCAGCAGCACCTTCAAGCAGGTAAGCGACTGCGCTCAGGACCTCTGCCCCTCTGATCCTCCTTCCTTCTCCAGCCTCCTCCCCCAGATCTCCTCCTCCCTAGTTCCTATGCTCCTCTGGTCCTCCTCTCTCCTATCCCCCAGCTCTCCCTCCTCCATCAGCCCTCCTCCTTCTGATCTTTCTTTTCGTCCTCCTCCAGCCCTCCTCCCTCAGACCCTGACTTCCTCAGCCCATGCTTCAGCACCGTTCCCGCCCCCCCATCCTCCACATCCTCCGTCCTCCTCTGCCCACCTCCAACCCTCTTCCCTCCCGCCCTCCATCCTTCTCCAGCCCTCCATCCTTGATCCTCAGCCCTCATACGTCCCCCCTCCCACCCTCAATCGATGATGTGTCCTCTCTTTCTCCTCTGGTCCGCTGATACTCCTCCCTGCCGTCCTCCGCCTGGTAGCCCTTTTCCCTATGACGTGCAGCCATTCTGTCCTCCTTCCAAGCCCCTGATTCTCTTCCTTTAAGTCTGGATCGTCCAGTGCTCCTCCCTCTGATCCTTAGGTCCTCCCTCCTCCCGGTCCTTCAGTCCTCTATCCTCTGTTCCTCTCCCATGTAGTCCTCCCTCTGATTGTCTGGTGCTCTTCTCTCCTGCCCTCTGACTCTCCCTCTTAGCCTCTTGTGCATTGAAGGCTGTATGGAGAGTCAGATGGGGGGACATTCCACTCTAGGTCCTTGTACCCTCCATCCTCCTATGCAGACCCCACTGGTAGGCCAGCAAAGCAGGGACTCAGACCTGTAACCAGCCATTCATCCTCAGGCACCCTCCCTGCTCTTCACAGCCCCAGGCCTCTTGATGGGCAGGTGGGCAGGAGGTAGAGATGGCTAGGCCAGGGATGACATGGGGCTCTTTGCTGTGTCCACCTGGGTGACCTGTGCCCCTTTTTGCGCACACGTTGGCTGGGTAGATTTTTTTTTTTTTCTTAACCTTCCTTCCCTTTTCATTTTTGTGCCGAGTAAGAATTCCTAGAGAGCTGGAATCCTGCATTGGAAACGATACTAGGATGCTGACAGATTCTACATGTGGTGGGCGCCCCCTGGCCGGCTTTCCTCTTACATAGTGCAAAAGGTGTACTTGTCCATCCATCCCTGGGGGCTCCACCCCCATGGCCTCACAGAATTCTGGTTACCTAGGAGATGCTCCACTCCTCAATTGATGGATGTCACTATCCGCTGATGCAATCTTGGGCATGAAGAGTTTAGCATTGATTCCAGTGTGGGATGGGTATTCAGTTCACAACTGGGTAGCCACATACAACTCAGTTGGCCCTGGGACACTGTCACATGCTGTCACTTGTGAAATACAGGTCTTAGAAGGAGCTGGTAGGATGTACTGTCAGGTTGTGAAGTAGAAAGCATACTTCTGCATATCCAACCAGCCCTGTGCTGGCCTCCGCTTTTGCCCTAGGGGTGTAGAGAGCCTTTGCCTGAGTTTCAGTTCTGGCTCTTAGAGCACTCTCCTGTGCAGCTCTTGGAACACTGTTCTGTGTGGCTCTTGGAGCTCTCTCTCTCTCTCTCTCTCTCTCTCTCTCTCTCTCTCTCTCTCTCAGCCATCAGAATTGCTTTGCCTAAGACTTTTTTTTTGTAGCTGCCACCTGTTGCTTTTTCGGCTTTCAGGCTGTTTTCTTCCGTTGTGGCTCGGCCTCCCATCTGTGAAGTAGAGCCGAAGGCTGGGTGTTGCTCGTCTGTGTCATTCCCAGACCCCGTAGCCATCTTACTCCTCCACTGAGTGTGTTTTTGCAGGACTGGGGTGTGATTAGGAACTAGACCTCGTTGAAGAGGTGTGATGTGTGATTGTGATACAGACCAGCCCAGATTTTCAAGTTGAGGTTCTCCAGGGAAAATGACTAATTTTAAGCTCCTGTCTGCCCTGTGCTGAGGATGGAGTTGGGCAGCCGACGCTGCCTTCTGCGTACTGAAGTCTGTCTGAGTTACGAGCTAAACTAGCCCCTCCTGCCCCCACTCTTGTCCAGAAGAATGAGTGGTAAATGGTTGTTGGACACACTGATGAATGGAGAGAGCCTGCCCCTCACAGAGGTTCTGCACTGTCAGAGATAAAACACAGGTTTCCAAGTGAAGAGTCAGATTTTCAGAGACTGTGTTTCCTCCCCAGAGCGTGTTGACTTCCATTACATGTGATGTTAACGACTGTGAGTTTGGGGGTATAGTGTGACGGAAGGGTGTCACCATTTGGCAGCTCTATGAAGATCTGTTCACAGAGCAGGACATGACTCTCTGACAGTACATGGGGGAATCCCTCAGGGCTGCCTCAGAGTCTGAAAGTGCCCAATGGGACAGTTCAGCGCCTGACATGGTGGTTCACCTGAACGTGCAGCCTAGCGGTTTTAATAAGACCATGGTGAGTCATAGGCACATAGTTACCATAGTCACAGTGTAGGGCGCTATCATCGACTTCCCCCACCTCCCCCGTCCTAAACAGTCGCTAAGCTACTACTTCCTGCTAAAATATTTCTTTTTGTCTTGCATTGCTTATTTTTGTGTGGCTGTGTGCTGTCGGGAAAAGGCAGGAGTATGCATACCCCACCCTGCTCATGTGGCGGTCAGGACAGCTTTTGGGAGTCAGTTCTTCCTTCGTATCATGAGGGTCCCCAGGGATTGAACTCAGGTTGTCAGGCTTGGGGATCACTGGGCCATGAGCTAACACAGGTGAGTCTAAGAACAGCACAGCACTCACAGAAGATCGCATGTGGGTATGATCCCATTTATATGAAGTGCCCAGGGCAGGGGCAGGAGAGATGGCTCAGGGGTATAAGCGCTTGTCACACCAGCCTGAAGACAAGTCTTTGATGCCTAGACCCAGTGAGCCACTGCAGTGGTGGCTGTCACATTAGTCCACTCATCCCTGGTGGGCCTTGGGGTTCCATCTTTTGGTAAAGAACACCTACTTTGTGGGGTTTTGTGCGGACATGTTTTTATCGCTCACTAGCACGGGCCTAGGCGTCAACTGCTGGGCCCGAAGTTGAGGGAGGGCTCTGCCTGGCCTTTTGAGAATCCTCATGGCTGCTTTCCAGTGGTCACACTGTAATGAACTTATGAGAAGGACATTTGCCAAGTTTTGGTACAGAACGTGGTGTCCGCTATGGTCAGTATCAACCGTGGGTAGAACTGTCACAGCCTCTCCCGTTCCATTTGCGCATAGACTTCATGACAGGTAGACCTGTGTCCTGGTTTCAGTCCACACAGTGGACAGTTGCAGCTGTCTGGCCTGTCACTCGTGTGTGTGTGTGTGTGTGTGTGTGTGTGTGTGTGTGTGTGTGTGTGTGTGTTGGGGGGTGGGGTCATCTCATTATGTAGCCTTAGTAGACCAGGATGGCCTCACACACACCGAAATCCACCCTATCTCTACCTCCCAAGTGCTGGCATCAAAGGCGTGTGCCACACCGCACCCAGCTTATATATATATTTTAAAAACACCTTTAACCAAAAAAGCAAAACCAATTGCTCATATGTCATGAGTTCACTAATAAATACTTGATTTAAAAGTTTTATGTTTAGTTTTCTATCAGTAGACACGAACTCACACTGTGTGTCCTCGGTGGCTTGGACTGCTCTCACGCAGGCCCACTACCTGCCATGCCCTTGTGGGTCAGTACTGTCCTGAACGTGATTTCTGGCTTGGCTGGCTGCTGCCGTGCAGCTGGGTGCCCAGCTTGTCTCGCCCGGCCTGGCCTCTACCTCCCTTCTACGAGGTGGGGGTGCTAAGAAGAACACACCCAGGTGATGTTTATCACAGATGAAGAGGCTTGTGCCACACAGACGTCCCCTGGGCTCCTCCACTCTGCGTCTCTGAGACAATTCAAGCTTGCACAGCAGTCTTCGCCCAGACAGCTGCTGACACGGTTGCCTTGGACCCTTGGATGCCTTTCTTTGGTTTTCTTCCTAATTAATGCTTTAGGGGATAATTTAAATTGTTAGAGATGGGAGCACAGGAGAGGATGCCATCAGGGGAGAGGGTTGGGAATGGTGAATGGTGCCAGGTGACCTGGGCTCAGCGCTCTGCACAGGGGCGCTGGTAGGGCTGGCCCCGGTTACTCCCTGGCTGCCTGCCATCTGCTGTAGGGGTATGAGGGAGGGTAGGCAGATGACTTCAGTGATTTAGGATGGATGATACAGGGAATGGCAGGGTGGGGCAACTCTGGGGGCATCTGGTCTGAGGTGAGAGCTGAGGTTCTCCTTGTTCTTAGGTGGCACAGCCCGTTACAGGGCTGAGCTGTCTGATGAATTCTTTGAAACCATATTAACCTTTCTGCTGGAAAGTAGTTACCCACGTGCATTGGTGCCCACTTACATTGTCTGTGTTACTATGTAGATTGGTGCCCACTTACGTTTTTTCAGGATGTATTTATTATGTATACAGTGTTCTGTCTGCATGTATGCCTGCACACCAGAAGAGGGCACCAGATCTCATTACAGATGGTTGTGAGCACTATGTGGTTGCTGGGAATTGGACTCAGTGGAAAAGCAGCCAGTGCTCTTAACCTCTGAGCCATCTCTCCAGCCCCTAGTGCCCACTTAGTTGTTTGTGGTACTTTTTTTTTTTTATTTTTTATTGTTGCTGTTATACATCATGACCAAGGCAACTTATAAAAAGTTTGTTTGGGGTTTGCAGTTTCAGAGGGTTCGAGTCCATGACCATCAGAGCAGGGAGCGTGGCGGCAGGCAGGCCCACAGGCATGGTGCTGGAGCAGTAGCTGAAGGCTCACATCTACCACCACAAGGCCGAGCTAACCTGGGCTTTGGAAACCTAGGAGCCCCTCCCACCCCCAGTGACACGCCTCCCGCAAGGCCACACCTCCTAACCTTTCCCAAACAGTTCCACCAACTGGAGACCAAGTATTCAAATGTACGAGCCGATGGGGGTCAGTTTCACTCAAACTGCCACGTGGGGGTTGTATACAGTGTGGGTGAATACAGAGAGCTGCCTCACCCCCTTTAAACTGGATGCTAGCAAAGACTTGTTGGCTGCAAACTGTGCAGCGCGTGGCACAGGCATAGGAGGGGTGACCTGCAGAAGGGACACTGCTGTCCTTTTATCTGAGGGATTTTATTTCTCTCACTTAAGGTGCACTGTCTCCTCGCTTGACATACAAGTGTCCCCCGTCTTTTAACTGTCTCAGGGCCAGAAAGAGGGCTGTCTCCATGGCTCAGAGTGCTTGCTGCTCTTGCACAGAACCTGCAGGCTAACCCCAGTGCCATGGGATTCAACACCCACTTCTGGCTACCATGTACACCTCCCCCCCCCACACACACAATTTAAAAACGTAAATTTTTTTTAAACGTCTATGATTTTTACAACTGTAATTCCCTACTGTCAGGCTGCGGTTCTCAAACCTCGCTGTCTCTGGCTGTATCACATACATTGTTGAGACTCCTGTGCAGATTCCTTAAGGTCAGCTATGCCGTGTATGGGAGGGAACTCTGTGCCACGTGTATGGAGCGCGCCTTTCATTTGACGGTCATAATTACCCCTAGGACCTGCAGCATGCTTGCTTCCTAACTAGCCTTTTAAGAATCTGAGGAGGAGCCGTGTGCCTCAACTGCGCAGGCTCCACAGATGCTTACACTCAGAGGGAACCTTCTCCTGTGCTTCTACCCACAGCTGGTCCTGTCTTTCCTCTGCAGTGGACCTGTGTGCACATCTAACACCCACCCCTAGGGGGCAGTGGCTCGGATTCATGAGAAGAGCATTTGTCAGCAGCTCCTTGGAGCACCTGACTAAAGTGTCCGGGGCCCTTTGTAAAAATCCCCTTTGAACGGATTCTTTATTGTTGTTTGAGACAGGGTCTCTCCATGTAGCCCTGGGTGTCCTGTGTTGTTTCTATGTAGACCAGGCTGGCTTTGAACCGGCAGAGGTTCCCCTGCCTCTGCCTCCTGAGCGCTGGATTAAAGGTGTGCGCCACCACACTCAGCTTTGAACGGAGTTTTGAATGAAGAAAATACACATATTGGTGAAAGGCTGAAGGGGAGACAGCCCAGAAGGGCAGCGGGAACTCCGTTGGAAATACCCCGTGGATGGAATTGCTCTCCTGTCCCTTCTGCATCCTCGCCACCTGGTTTCAAAAGTGGGTCACAGCCGACTCCACCCACAGTCCCCTTGGCAGAGGTTTTGAACCTTCAGGTTTGACAAGTTCAGGTGCAGGACAAGGGGAAGTCAGTCATCTTGAAGGGCTTTTTTACACTGAGCAAATTGAAGGAGGGGATCCAGCCCTGTTGGTAGCAGGAGAGAGGTCATCTGTTTAAATGCCGGTGATATTGCGGACAGTAGATCAAGCTCTGGGGAAGTGATATGGCACTGTCTAGCTCTTATCACTGCAAGTGATTGACAGGACTTTCTCAGAGCCCCCACACTGAACTGCAAAGTCATCCCGAGAGCCAGAACCAGTGATTGTTCCTGGTCTGTGGAGGCCGTGTCTACTTAATGATGGGGAGTCAACATGACAGATATTATGTATCCATGAAGATTTGATTATCTAGATAATGTGGGTCCTTGGAAAGGTTTTAACCATCCAATTAGCATCCAGAGCAACTGACGGTGACACCAGTATAGAGAGAGGTCAGAGGTGAACATGTAAGCCAAATGCACCTGCCTATCAGTGGTGGTAGGGCACGCCTTTAATCCCAGCACTTGGGAAGCAGAGGCAGGAGGATCTCTGTGATCAATGCCAACCTGGACTAAAGAGCAAGTTCCAGGACAACCAGGGCTACATAGAGAAACCCTGTCTTGAAAAACCAAAACAACAACAGAAAAACAAACAAACAAACCCCAAATGTACTTTTGTTTGGATTGTGGTAATTTATAAGCATTGTTTTTTAAGTGAGCCTTTTCTCTTGCGATAATGATAGCTTAACGGGAAACGTACAAGGATGGTATTCTTTCTCCAGACCATTTAGTTTCTCCTCCAGTTAACAGTCAGCATGTCTTCATATAAGATGCTAAGACCATTCCAAGGATGATTAAAGATCATTTAAAAAACAACATTTTAAACTGTAAATTGTGTGTGTGTGTGCACATGAGTACAGGTACCCACAGAGGTCAGAGGGTCCTGGAGCCAGAGTTACAGTTGTAAGCCACCCAGTGCTGGTTCTGGGATCCAAACATGGGTCCTCTGGAAGAGCAGCCAGTGCTCATAACTGATGAGCCCTCTCTACAGCCTGTCTATACCTAGTTTGTATACTTGAATACCCAGGGTCATGTGACATTTCTAGAGTACACTGGAGTCCCAAGGGAGGAAGAAGGGCCACTTTACAGAAAGAGTGCCCTGAGAACCTAGGTTTGGTGATACCTTGCTTGTGCCAGTGTTTAGTCAAGACATTTCTGTGTTGTTGGGTTTCTGGTTTTTGGGTTTTTTTTTTTTTTTTTGTTTTGTTTTGTTTTTTTCTTCCTACTATTGAAACAAGAGTTGTGGGAAACCTCAACATGTGGTTTCTGTAAGATGGCCCTCACTAAGGAGTTTCCTAGCAAAGTGTGTGTGGACGTGCACATGTCTGACATTGCTAACTTCCCAGATTGCTTTCCCGTAGTACTTACAAAGACCCGTCCTGATTTTCTGAACTGTCTGTGTTGCCACCAGATGCACAGGGGTCCCCTTAAATACAAAGCAACATTGATGCTTAAACACTCAAGCTGTCAGGATAGCAGGTGTGGTGGTATACACCGTAACCCTATCATCTCAGCTCCTGCAGGCTGAGGTCGGAGGACCCTGAGGCCAATCGGGGCTGCCTTAGAACCTCCAAACCCAGCAGGTCATGGTGGTTCACACCTGTAATCCCAGCACTTAGGAGGCCGAGGCAGAAGGATTGCTGTGAGTTCTAGGCAAGTCTGAACTGTAGGAAGCTCTGTCATAAAACCCAACACAGGCCAATGGGAGAGGGTCCTTTATAGTGCTTTGTTACAGTTCATGGCTAGGAGCTTCCAAAGGTGGCTGCCATGCGCTTCACTTGATTCCAGCGGCTGGACTCTGTCCTCCCAGTTTAATGCTGTGGCTCCTGTCTAAGAGAAAGATCCGGGCTCCCACCCAGGGTCGCTCCTCTCATGGTTTGCTAGGCAGAGGGCTGTGTCGTCAGAACGGCATCTAGATGCAGTTGTAAGGATGGCTGCTCTGTGATTTTTCACACAAAGGAAGGCTTTTGCGGGGTCTCAGACTTCACGACCTTAAAGTCATCCCCCCACTCCCGTTCAGGGTTTCTACACCAGTACTTGTCACAGCTGAGGCCATGTGGTCTAGAGGTGTCAGGTGACAGTCTAAGGTGATCAGACTAACATAGTGTCCTCTTGATTCTGCGTGTCTGGGCCTCGTGTTCTGTTCCATGGGGTGTGCATTTCAGTATTTAAAACCTTAAATTGCCTGCAGAAGGAAACGTTTTCTCCAGAATCCCATAGACCCCTTTTGTCTGTCTCTGGGGTCTAGCGCATCAGTGTGGCCCCGTGAGGAGGAGAGCTGTGACTTGCCACATTTTCCTGCTGCCTTGTTTTGTGGCTTTGTTCAGATGGCGCCCGTGCCAGAGGTGTTGGGCTGGGGTTGGCGGTGGGGTATAGACTCCTGCAGAATGTCTTGAACCTTCCTCTTCTCCCTGTCGTCCCATTGCAGGAAGAGAGGGCAGTGAGAGACCGGAATCTTCTCCAGGTTCAAGACCGGGAACAGCCCATTCTGTGGAAGGTCCAGTTTACCCTGGGCAACAGCAGCCGGCCCAGCAACCAGTGCCGGAACTCTGTCCAAGGAAAACACCTCATCACTGACGAGCTGGGTATGCCCCTCTCCCTCACTCAAGGCTCTGGGACTCTGGGTAGCCTTCCCTCAAGACGCTTTTCCCGTCTTGCTCCTCTCCAGGGATGTCCATGTCTGTCTTCCATACCTTCCTCTCTACCCCAGGCTCCCTGCAGCATCTGGGAAAGTTGGCTGAGGAGCGAGACACGTAGTAGTTCTCTCCCTCTGCCTACAGCTCCAGCCTTGGCCTCAGTCCCAGGTCATTTCCTACCAGGCACGGCCACAGAGATTCCTCTTGTTTCTCTAGTGTTTGTGGTGTGTTTGCGTGTGTGCATGTGTGTGCGTGTGCATGTGTGTGCACGCATGTGTGTGCGTGTATGTGTTTGCGGTGTGTGCGTGCGTGCGTGTGTGTGTGTGTGTGTGTGTACACCACGTGGTGTATGTGGTGGCCATAGGCTAATTATAAGATTGCTTTCTCCTTTTACCGTGTGGATCCCAGGGATTGAACTCAGGTCGCCAGCTTCTTAGCAAGCACCTTTACTGGCAGAGCCATCTTGCTGGCCTGTAAGTTTCCTTATAGGAGAAGGGAAATTGAATTCAGGGCTGTTACTTCATCAAGAAGATGCAGTTAACTGACAGGCAGCCGGGGTGGGGAGGCTGGCTTAGAGGCCAGGGCTTGTTTCTGTAGACTCAGAAAACAGGACATTCTAGTATCAGGTGGCAGTTTGTCATCTTCTGGTACTGTAATTACAAAAAAAGGTGATTTTCTTCTGGTTAATTTAGATCAGACAAAAGACTTACAGACTCCTTTAGCTAAACAAAACAAACAAACAGAAGAAGACAATACTTAGCTTCTCAACCCATAAAAATCACACAGGGGCTGCAGGTTTTATTTTACCTTTACAGATATGGGAAATTCAGTTTAATTTAAAAAAAAAAATCAAAAAAACTTGCAACTGTTGATGCTGTTTAGGGACAAAATGCCACTGTGTTGTTAGGGTAACAGCGCTGTTAAACAAGATAGCCAATTAGAGTCACAAACTTCTCAAAAGGTGCAAGTTAATTTTCCTGGCAAGACCAACACATTGGATGGCCCTGATCTCTCAGGACTTGACGGGAAATAATATCTGCAGAGCTGATCTGCACCACACAGGGCTTGTGTGTGTTGAAACGTCACAATGCCCTGTATGGTTCTTACAGGGTTTTGTTTTTGTTTGTTTGTTTGTTTCAACTAAAAATAAAGAAGAGCCTAAAGAGATGGGTCATTGGTCAGAAGCACTAACTGCTTTTGAAAGAGGGCCTGACTGGGTTTGATTCCCAGCATCCATGGAAGGCAGGCAGCTCACCAACTGCCTGTGACTCCAGCTCCCAGGGATCCAACACCCTCTTCTGGCCTCTGTGGGAATCTGCACTCATGTAAAATAAAAATAACTCTTCAAAAAGTAAAAGGTAATTTTCCATGACTTGTGATACACGGTGAGAGGCCTGAGTGAGCTTGCTCTCCTCAGACATGATCACCTGGAGGGGAACACCAGAGTTCGGGGCCAAGTGCTGGGAATAGGCAAGAAAGGGGCCTCAGGTGTTAACTTCCAGCTTGGCCAAGGAAAAGGCAGGCGGATCTGCAGGTTGCATTCTGGGTGCACGGTATTGTCCATCGCCATGATACCGAGTGGCTTCATTGTTAGCGTCTGGGGCAGAATCCTGGGGAGTATGCAGACTCCCTAGGAGTTCCATTTAGAATCCTTGTCAACAGCATGAGTGGAACAGCTGGGAAGGAAGTGTTTACTGGAACATCAGAGTGCTTATCTCTTCACTCAGGAGACACAGAGCAGAAACAAAACAGAAGCCACCAGCTCCCAGGTGATGGGGATGGCTCCCTCCCGGTCTCCCATGTGTTGAGTGAGGGCCCTCTAATGCCCCCTCTAGTGTCAGGGCTCTGCCAGCACCGCCTGCTCCTACACAGACCTTGTTTTCCGGGGCAGTTCTGAAAACAAGTTATCCTCCACCAGCCTCGATCTCTGAGGACAGAGCTGGGTACTCAGGCGTGCTGATGCTGGGAACAGCTGCTGCACACCTGGATGCTGCACACACCCGAGGGCCCACATGCATACCTGAGGGCCCACTTGATACCTGAGGGCAAGAGCACACACACCTGAGGGTCCTGCTCGCATCTGAGGCCCCACACACACCTAAAGCCCCCCCCCCACACCTAAAGCCCCCCCCACACCTAAAGCCCCCCCCACACACCTAAAGCCCCCCACACACACCTAAAGCCCCCACACACACCTAAAGCCCCCCCCACACCTAAAGCCCCCCACACACATCTGAGGGCTCACGTACACACCTGAGGGTCCTGCTCGCATCTGAGGGCCCCCCACACACACCTAAAGCCCCCCACACACACCTAAAGCCCCCCCCCACACACCTAAAGCCCCCCACACACCTAAAGCCCCACACACACCTAAAGCCCCCCCCCACACACCTAAAGCCCCCCCCACACACCTAAAGCCCCCCCCACACACCTAAAGCCCCACACACACACCTAAAGCCCCACACACACACCTAAAGCCCCCACACACACCTAAAGCCCCCCACACACACCTAAAGCCCCCCCACACACACCTAAAGCCCCCCACACACACCTAAAGCCCCCCACACACACCTAAAGCCCCCCCACACACACCTAAAGCCCCCCACACACACCTAAAGCCCCCACACACACCTAAAGCCCCCCACACACACCTAAAGCCCCCACACACACCTAAAGCCCCCCACACACACCTAAAGCCCCCCACACACACCTAAAGCCCCCCACACACACCTAAAGCCCCCCCCACACACCTAAAGCCCCCCACACACACCTAAAGCCCCCCACACACACCTAAAGCCCCCCCCCACACACCTAAAGCCCCCCACACACACCTAAAGCCCCCACACACACCTAAAGCCCCCCACACACATCTAAAGCCCCCCACACACACCTAAAGCCCCCCACACACACCTAAAGCCCCCACACACACCTAAAGCCCCCCACACACCTAAAGCCCCCCACACACACCTAAAGCCCCCCACACACACCTAAAGCCCCCCACACACATCTGAGGGCTCACGTACACACCTGAGGGTCCTGCTCGCATCTGAGGGCCCCCCACACACACACACACCTGAAGGCCACTGGGAGCATGTCGGATTGGGTGGTGACCCTCGTATACTTACACTTGGATTTTTCTGTACTGTTCCCAAAGGGTGCAGGGAACTATGCCTAGAAGCTCAGAATAGGAAAGCAGCCCCAGGGAGGAGGCCTGGCTGACCCTGCATATCTGTGTGATGGGGTTTCTCAGTCGTGGAGCAAATTAGATTTTCCTCTCCCTCAAGGATTTGAGGGCGTCTTCCCTAATTCTAGGGATGGTTGTGCCCCCCCCCCCCCATGCTTGTGTACAAACACTGGAAGCAGAGTTACGAAGGTGGACTGGGGCTTCCTAGTTTAACAGTCCCTTCAAGTGACCCCGATAACAGCAGGTGTGTAAAAGTGTGTAACATCAAAAGCTGTGTGCTTGCTTTTTGAATCTGCAAAGCGCACACTTTTTATGAATGGGTGCCTTGCTTCTGTCATAGACTTTTTATGTATTTATTTTATGTGAGTGCTCTACCTGCATGTACACCCTTACACCAGAAGAGGGCATCAGATCCCACTATAGGTGGTTTGTAAGCCATCAGATGGTTGGTGGGAATTGGACTCAGGTCCTCTGGAAGAGAAGCTACTGCTCTCAATCATCTTCTCCAGCCCCGTTTTAGACTCTTTAAAAGAGGCCCAGGTGAAAGATTGCTTGCTTATGTTAGCGCCCAACCGCATGGGCGTGGCTTGGCATGGTGATGCGCTCACACTTGGGCAATAGACCGGAAAGTGATTGAACACTAAGCACCGAGACAAAGTGGATCTAGCGATGACTGAGGAGCCCAACTCCCCGTAATCATCCGCCCAGGCGAAACCAGCCCTGGAGCTCAGGATGCGTCTCTGGCTTTCAGGCTATGTCTGCGAGAGGAAGGATCTGCTGGCCAATGGCTGCTGTGACGTCACTGTCCCCAGCACGAAACAGTACTGCTGTGATGGATGCCTGGCCAATGGCTGCTGTGAAAGCTACGAACACTGTGTCTCCTGCTGTCTGCAGCCCAGCAAGGTAGGGGCCCCAGCTCCCCGCCCTTTCCCCCAGGCCTTTAAGGGGGAGAATTAGACATCTCTCGGGGTCCTCAAGAGGTGTACTGGCCACTCCTGAGAGGGGAGCGGGTCCCCAATGCCTGGCTCCTTCGCAGAGGGGACCATGCTATAACTAACTGGGTATCTGGTGAATGAGAGACTGGCTCCCTCCTTCCTGGCGGGCTGGCTTGGCCTGCAGTTATGACCAGTCCTGAATACCTTGTTTCCATAGCAACTTCTACTGGAACGCTTCCTCAACCGGGCGGCTGTGGCCTTCCAGAACCTCTTCATGGCAGTTGAGGACCACTTCGAACTGTGCTTGGCTAAGTGCAGAACTTCATCCCAGGTCAGGAGTGATGCTGGTCCTCTCGCGAGGGGAGGCGGGAGGGAGGCGAAGCCGGGGAACACTAGTGGATTACTCAAGGCAGAGAGTGGGGGGGGGGGGCGCCAACAGAGAGAGAGAAAGACAGAGAGATTTGGACCCAGGAGCTATTTGTTGAGAGGAGGTGGTCACTTGTCCTGGGGCAGAGCTGTGACTTGATTCAGAGGGGTGGGAGGTGAGTATTTAAAGGCACATGGATCAATCTGAGCTTTGTAAGGTCTTTGGTGAGCACACACCACCTAACCTTGAATGCCCTGCACTTATGGTATGCACCAGCCACCCATGCAGTTCCCAGGAGGGCCTCTGCCCCCTCCCTTTATTTCCCTTTGACATTTATTTTGGGCTTGGGGAGGCACATGCATACACGTCAGGCGACAACTTGTGAGAGTCTGTTCTCTCTATCCACCGTGTGGGTCCTGAGCCTCAAACTCGGGTCATCAGCCTTGGCACCAGCCCCTTTCCCTACTGAACTGTCTCTCCTGTCCAACTTCCCTGCCTTTGTGGCTAGGCACGTCACTGCTCTTTGTAAGGTATCTCTTACACAAGGCCACTGTCTGGGATAACTGACTCATGTCCATCTCTGGCCCTCTGGAAGCTTTGGGTTTGTGCTTGGAAATTCCCTTTTCCACCTCTGCTTTCCTGTGAGAACATCCCGGGTCAGGTTAGAGGGAGATCTGAGGATGTGACTTTCCAGTGGTCTCTATGGGGCAGCTTCCCAGGTAAATGGGTGTAAAGGGGGTGTGGGGGGGGGAGGCTTGATGGATTCCCTCTTCCTGGCCAGTGCTGGGAAGGGGAACTGGTATTATAGCAGCTTCCGGTAGCTGACAGAGCCTGAAGGTACTTCCTCTTGAGCAAGTAGAGACAATTCTCAATGGCCACTTGGTTCACCGGCCCACAGACTGGGCATTCGAGTCTACTAGGTGGAATTAATAAGGTGTGTAGCTTTGCTAGAGGCTAATTAATGAGATCTGGAGCAGCCAAAACCTCAAATTGCTCCTATGACAAGAAATTGCTGGAAAGTCTACCACCGGGGATGTTAGGGGTGGGGTGGGTTGTCTGGGCTCAGCTTCACTTGGTATACCCAGCCAGAGAGGCTCTTGGGGAAGGTGCTGCTTGGCTTGCGTGCAGGCCCTTAGTGCATGACTGTCCTTTGAAGTGTCGTCTCCCAAGTCCCTTACAGGACTCCTCACCAGGGACTGGAACTCTCTGACCACAGGGTCAGGTGCATCGGCACTGCATCTCCACCTGTTTCAGACTGTTGTTTCTTACTTGCTATTGTGCGTGTTTATGGTCGTACCAGCACAAGTGCACGGGGTCAGAGGACAACTTGGAGAGTTTGCTTCTCTTTCTCCCGGGGATCACACTGAGATCCTCGGGCTTAGGGGCAAGCACTGTGTTAGCCCCTGATCTACCTCACCTAGCCCTTGTTGGCATTGTCTGAGGCGGGTCTCCTATTGCTAGGCTGGCCTCAAGTTCGCCATACCGCTGAGAGTGATCTTGAACTTCTGTCCCTCCTGGCTCCAGTGCTGGGATCACAAGTGTGCATCATCCCAACCATTTCTGTGAGGCGCTGGGGATTAAGCCCAGTGCTTCGTGCTGTTATCAGGCAAGCGCTCAGCCCGCTACACTCTGTCCCAGGCCCCGCTTCAGAAAGGTTGAGGAGTAGTCTTAAAATGCCCAGCCAGGTTGCTCAAAAAGCTCCATGGTGGACAAAAGAAGAAATGACACAATTACATCTTGTCTGTTTTCGTGGCACTCCACACTAAGAATCCCACTTCGTTCTAGAAAGTTCCTTGAAACCCCTAGGAGCGCTGGAGGCAGAGTAGGCAGGGAGAGGTTGGCAGTCCCTGCAGCTGACCCTCTCCGTCTTTCTCCCCATCTTCCTTTACCAACAGAGCGTGCAACATGAGAACACGTACCGTGACCCCATAGCCAAGTACTGCTACGGAGAGAGCCCGCCGGAACTCTTCCCCGCGTGAGGCCTGATGGAGACACACACCCAGAACCACTCTGGTCCACACGAGATAATGAAGGAGAAAGCCACACAAGGATGCTTGGCCTTGACCATGTCTGGTGGCTTCAAGTGTCTCTGGCTCCTTCAGCACCGGCTGGGGCAAGTGGACGGAGCTGTTCTGTCGAGCTTGCAGGGCCCTGGGCTGCTGGTCAGGAGCCAGGCACTTGATGCTATGTTGTAGTTACTTAATGACTTCTCAGAGTGGCGGAAGGTACTGCGCTTTGTGCAGGACACCTTTGCCTGTCCAGTTGGATACGCTCAAGGAGGTGACTGCTGTACTTGGTTCGTGGCTGTCACAAGTGACATTGCTCTTACACCAGACTCAAGCTTGTCTCCAGGAGCGTGGGTGTACAGATTTCTTTGGTTGTTTTAACATGTGACCAGCAAGCCTTATATCCATATCCCAACCTCTAGGGGTATGTGGAGCCTCAGGGAGGTGCTGGTCCCCACTGAGCCTTCGTAGAGCTGGCCTGATATGCTCATACACCTGAAATAGTGGCCGGAGGCCTGAACCCCCAGGTGACGGTCCCAGTGGGGTTTGCTGTCACCATGCCCCTGTTGAAACCCTCAGCCTCAGGGCAGGGGAGCCTTTCCGTCGTCTGTCACGAAGCCGGTGGGGACTGGTGGATTTGGTTTGTAGGGCTCATTCATTCTTTACTGCTCTCCAAGCCTGGCTGTGTGCCACTGGCATAAGCTTGTTAAGCTCTTACTCCAACCTAGAGTTTCGTATCTGCTCTCAGTGGGAGATGTATGTGGTAGCCGCGGCCTGGAGAGCATCCCACAGGCAGATCAGTGTCCGGTGTTGCAGGGGGGGTGGCTGTTGTCACCAGTAACTGAAACTTGGGTTTCAAGCATCAGGGCAAGACCCCTCCTTCTTGACTCTCCTGTCTTGCTTTCAGACCACCTGTTAACACACACTTCTCCCCCATACCCTTCACCAACCCTCACTGTGGGCCACCGTGTTTTGTGGTTTGGGTTGAGGTTGCCCTGGCATCAGGCATGAGTCTCAAGATTTTCTCTCAGCAGCAGCTTCATGAAGCCTTGTCTCCCAGCCACATTTGCCTTCCGGGTGGAATTTCCTTCATCTCCCTCCTGCTTCCTCTTCCTGCTCACCTCCGAGTTGCATTTTGTCACCTCTGTGGAAGGGAGGGCAGGCAGGTGGGCAGTCTCTTTTGGGATCAAACCCAAGACTTTGTGTATGACTGGCAGACTTTCTGCTACTGAGCCATGGCCCTGGCCAGTGATTCTGTTCTGGACTTCTCAGTGTGTTGACTCAAAGTTCACGAAAGAACTGGGCGCACCTGCACATTCTGGCACGCTCTGGAATGTTCTGGCACATTCTGGAATGTTCTGGCTTTCTCATTCTTTCTGATAACTGGGGTGTTTTTTATATTTTTGTTTTGTTTTTTTGTTTTTTTTTTTTTTTAGGCAGGGTCTCCTAAAAGCCCAGGCTGGCATCCAACTCCGTGTGTGTTTGATACCAGCCTTGAACTCCTGACTGCCCTCTCTGAACCTGCCAAGTGCTGAGAGTATCATCAGGCTTTTAATGCTAGTCTGCCCTTGGTCAGCATTGGTGTTGGTCAGTCTCCCTGCAGTTTGTTGCCACTCAAGCGTGGTTCAGGGTGAACAGTTTAGCGTAAGCATCATGCCCGTTGCCAGTTCTCTCTGACTTGGTACTGGACAGGTACGTTGTGCACAGTTCGTGGGTTTTTTTTTTTTTTTTTATGGTCCCTGAATAGTTGTGATCAAGATTCCAGTTTGCTTGAGTTTCACTCAGCGCATGAGAAAAAACAATGAGAGAGGTGGCTTGCCCTCCCGAGTCCCCACCAAGATAGCGTGATGAAAACCCACACAAGAACGTCATCTTCCAGTGCACCTTCCTGAGAACAGATGGCTATCAGTTTGTCCCAGTCAGGAGAAACTGGTGTCTACGTCCACACCAAGTCAGTAATGCAAAGGTCACTTTCTGTTGACTGTGGAATGTGGGTTTTGTGTTTGTCAAGTAGGGGAGTACACACACACACACACACACACACACACACACACACACACACACACACACACGACACATGCTCCACATGCTCCTTTGGACATTCTGAGCACTTCATTCAGACAAGAGTGTCACTGGGCAGGGAAGGGCCCCCACTGCTCGCCTCTCTTGCAGGGTTGGTTTTGCTCTCCCTCGAATGGACTTCCTAGAATCAGATGCTGTAGTTTTATGTCCCAGAGTCAAGTGAGGCATACTGGGGGCTTGGGGGCAGAGAGGAGGTGAGGACATCGTTGCCTTGGGTGTTTGATGGTATTAAATGCGAGGGGATGTGGGCAGCCAGCTCTCAGGCATGCATTTCCCTCCCTTCTGAGTGTGCATTTACTGGGCCTCTTGCTGAGAATGCTGGGTACCACGCCTGTAACCATGGAGAGAAGAAACACAATAGTGAGAGGGTTAGGAGATGGAGTGCAGGAGGAGAATGTGGTCTCCCAGCTGGACCACACTACACCACAGCCAGGATGGAAGAGTAGGCTTCTGGGTTCTTGTAGAAATAGAGGAGGTCCTCTAGGGCAATGATGGGGTTCTTCACACACCCCAAAAGCTGACTTCCAGGCTTCCCGGGAGTGGGGTGGGGAACAGTGGCATGCTGGGATCCTGGGCCCAGCTGTCCCCAACTTTGGGATTTGCATGTAAATCATGAACTGGCCTCTTCCTCATGGCCAGGACAGGAATGTGCCTGGAGCCACTGCTGCTCCACAGTGTGACCTTCTTTGAATCTTGGGCCTTCTATTTGGATAATGGGGGTCGCACATTTACCTGTCTGAGTTTGCCCTGAGGTAGCCTCTTGAGTGAGAGATGCTGCCTACTAAGAGGCCAATGTCTACCCCCCCCCCCCAGGGAGCAGCATGAGGGGGTAGGCAAGGATGAGGAGTCGGGGTTGCTGTCAAAGGAAGGTATCCGTTACAGTAATTAGGCTGGGATTTTGTTTTAATTAGCCAATTTGGGGCCATCTAGCTGTAAAGTGAGGACATGACCAAGGTCTGGCAGAGGGGAAGGTTTCTATGTAGATATAAGGGGTGTGTAGTCCACGGTTTCTGGAGAGTCCTGAGCAGGGAGAGAGAGTAATAAACTAAACATGAGCGTGAGAGGAAAACTAAAGAGTGAGGAGGCCAGGAGAGTCTGTGACCAAAATGGCGGGCTTATACAGGGATGGGGAGCTGGAGAAGTTCAGGGGGCTGGGTGGGAAGAGACCAAGGTAGGAGTGGTATCGAGGAAGCCTGGAGGGGCCAGTGTTGGAGTTGGTATGCTAATAGGTGTCATAGTCATTTGTCCTGAGTTGGTCTTGTTTTTGTTTTTTTGTTTTTGTTTTGTTTTTTGGACCTGACACTAATGATAAAATAATTACCTAAAAATCACACCGCCTAGAGGTGACCACCAGCTATTTTTGGCTTCCTCTGTGGCTTTCCAGGCAAACATGAAGTGCCCCCCCACCCCACGTCTCCCCTCCCTCCCCCTCCCCCCCACAACACTGCCAGTGGTGGGTTTGTCATCTACAGGCTTGACACTGAGGCGTGACACTGCTAGTGACCTATTGAGGATATCTGGTCCCTTCCATGGGGGTGGCTTGCTACTACAGGGCACGATTGCCCAGCTCAGCTCCTTCAGCCACTTCTCCACAGGTGTAGAAAGCGTCTCTGTCCATTCCTCCATCAGCCATGTCTCCGTCACTGTTTAAGCTGTTTGCTAAGAATTCGGTATTCTCATTTGTACTTACTTATTTTTTTAGTTTTGGAATCATGAGCCTATGTGTATCAGCTCATCCCTGAACAGTGAGTTCTGGGTTTCAAAGTGGAGTTTTGTTTTAAAGATGTTTGAGGGGCAGAGGAAATTGGCTCGGTGGCTGAGTGCTTACCGCTCTTCTGGTTCAGTTTCCATCATCCACGTTGGGGGCCTACAACTGATGGAATGTGATACAGACACCGTAAACACAAACATAATAAAAGTGAACCTTAAAAAAAACAAATCACATGTAGTTGTTGTGTGTGGGGGCCACACATGTACCAGGGTGTAGGTCATAGGAAGACTGGGAGGTTGTTGCATTCTTCCGCCGAGCGGGTTCGGCCGTGGAACTCAGTCTTGGAGGCTGTGCCCTGACCCACAGAGCCATCGTGCTGGTCCTGCCTGAGTCTGTGCCCGTAAGTTAAATGCTAAAATACACAAGTGATACTGATTTGTGTTTATTAAGTCACATCTTGGTTGACCATTTATTTTGTTCCAATGGTTACTACAGAACATTTGGAAATGAATGAAACCTTAATCTCCCTCCCTCCCTCCCTCCCCCCCTCCCGCCTTTGAGACCTGCACACTGTCCCAGGCTAACCTCAAACTCCATCCTCTGCTCTTAGCTTCCTGGTATTTAAAACTCAGCTGAGCAAGCCCCTTCCCACTTAACTTTCCCTTCAGTGACACTCTCAAGCAATTAGCTCACATTCACAAAGCCATCTTTCTGACAGATTTAGGGCGGTGGGTCTGCAACTTGGGGCAGCCCCTCCCCCACCCCTGGCCCTCCAGGGACATTTGGCGGAGTGTGGAGATTAGTCTCCTCATAGCTGGAATGGGGAAGGTACCACTCGTCCATAATGGGTGTGGGGGGGGGTCAGTGATGCTACTCACTGTGCCTCCCTCAACAGTACAGACACACCGTGTAGGCTGGCTGTGCTGAGCCGAGCCCAGCTCTAGGTCACAGCTGCGCCCAAGGCTGAGCCGAGAACTCACAGCACTAAGTGCTAACTTCATTATTTCCCCAGCCCGGAGCTGCACCACGCCGAAGCGCTGATTAAATTAGGCTGTGATCCCCACAGGACATGCTTGCGTAATGGGGCATTCCTGCATCGCGGCACAGTGTGGTTAGCCTGCCCCGTGTCCGTAGCTTGCTTTCCACCAGGCAGACACTTGTCTGCAGGATGGACTGGAAGTTGGTGGCCTGTTAGTGCAGGGGAGGTGGGGTGGGGGGAGCTGCCCTGCAGATTCCACGGGGAGCCATCCTGTTTAATCTGGCATGGTATGAACCAGGATAAGAATGGAAACAAGCCAAA